CCCTAACCCTAACCCTAACCCTAACCCTAACCCTAACCCTAACCCTAACCCTAACCCTAACCCTAACCCTAACCCTAACCCTAACCCTAAACCCTAACCCTAACCCTAACCCTAACCCTAACCCTAACCCTAACCCTAACCCTAACCCTAACCCTAACCCTAACCCTAACCCTAACCCTAACCCTAACCCTAACCCTAAAAGGACCTAGACCCTAGGCCCTAACCCTAGGCCCTAACCCTAGTCTTTCGGGGCCTTTGTGTTGTATATACATCTCAAGGCAGAACGCCCCGTCAGAGCCACACACACACATATATTACGGTCACCCCAGCGGCACCTCAGCGCCACCCTCAGGTCCACATGTCAGAGCAGTTATCACAAAGGCGGAGGGCCTCGGGCAGCTTCACTGAGGCGGTGGTGGTGGTGGACGGGGGACCTGGCGCGGGGGAATGAAGCCACCCCGGCCCGCCGACGCCCGTGGGCCGAGCGGATGCGGGGCGTTGGGGGCGGGGGCGGCATTGCCACACTCTGGCAAGGGCTTGCCAGCACTTGGCAAGGGCTTGCCACACTCTGGCAAGGGCTTGCCACCACGTGGTAAGGGCTTGCCACACTCTGGCAAGGGCTTGCCAGCACTTGGCAAGGGCTTGCCACACTCTCCGTAGCGGCGCTGGCGGCCCCTGCGAGCCAGCCGGCGCCGCGAGTGTATAGGCCAAGGAGATGCGGGGTTTCCCGGTTAGATCGTCGCTACAGCTTAAACAGACGTCAGATCCGGCCCGGCCGGGCCCAGACAGCCTTTTGTTTGCACAAAAAGAGCCTAGGGAGGGCAGAAACAACGACAGTACACATTGAGGAGGCCGAGAGGTGAGAGCCCAGTGTGCGGCACCAGAGCCGGGAGGTGCGCGCGGTCGGTCGTGGGGGAGCGCAATGCGATGGCCTGAGCGAGGACGCCTCTGTGCGCCCGCGCGTTAGCCATGTCTGGTGAACGCGTCCTGTTGAGTGGTGGGATGTCGTGTGTGTGGGTGTTCGCCACCTATATGCTCTATCCTGCGGCAAGACGGACGTGTTTTGACAATCAAAATCTACCTCAAAATTTGCGGCCGCTCCAACCTCGAAATTTTGGCTGATCAAAATTTGCGGTTGTGCCCCGGATCGAAACCTG